TTTTTGAGACAGGGTCTTGCTATGCAGTTCAGGCTGGCCCTGAGCTCACTTTGTAGCCCAGACTGGTCTCGAACTTGCAAGGATCCTCCTGCCTCAGCCTCCTGGGTGCTGGGCTTACAGACACGTGCCTCCATGCCCAGCCCCACACATTTGTTAAAATATCTCTTAGCTAACAGTGTGATATAAACTGGCCATGTGGCAGACACCCATAATCCCAGCACTTTTGGAGGCTGAGACAGAAGGATTGCCAAATCAAGTCTAGCTTTGGCAATTTAGTGACTTAGTAAGAACCTGTCTCAAAATAAAAAACAAAAAAAGACTAAGGATGTACCTGGATATAAGACACCTAGGTTCAATCCCTAGTATAGCAAAACAACACAAAACAAAACACACATTTAAAAAAAACACAGGCTGGGCATGGTGGCACACATGAGACAGGGTCTCACTATGCACTTCAGGTTGTTCTTGAGCTCACTTTGTAGCCCAGGCTGGCCTTGAACTCACAACGTTCCTCCTGCCTCAGCCTCCTGAGTGCTGGGATTACAGGCGTGCGCCACTACACCTGGTTTTTTAACTTTAAAATAATAACAGTGTAAACTGCAGAACAAGCCATAGATGTCTGGAAAGTAAATGTGTCATAGATTTAAGAATGGAGATGGCAAATACTGATTACAGGGCCAACTTCATACTTTAAGTTGGGCACACCTATCCTTGTGCTGCTGTGATTCCTAGAAGAACGGCTTGTTTGCCACCTCTCTTCCTCCCCCTCTGTGAGCCCCAAGCCCGGCGCACATAGTGAGCTTGTGGAATGGGCTGCACTGGTATCTGCAGCCACATACCTAAGTGTGACACTTCCTTCAGAGAGCAGCACAGGGAGCACAGCCTGGGATGGCGGAACTGAGGGATTCAGTGGTGGGGAAGCAGTCTATTCCCCCCAGAAGCAGCACTTCTCCCTGCCGCAACTGACATCCCATGACTGCACAGACAGCAGTGTTAGTTTAACTATCGCTTCGTAACAAACCACCCCAAGACTTAAGAGAACTAAATCAATCACCGTTTACTAGGGCTCAACTCTGCCATTTTTGCTGGGCTCAGCTGGGTGGTTCTGCCGATCTCACCTGGAGCTGCTTGTGTGGCTACACTCACCTGGTTCTTCCAAAGATGGTGTTATGGTTTGTGTCTGGGTGTCCCCCCAAAGCCTCATGGGGTCAAGGGGCAGGCTTTTAGAGTTTGATTGATTATGGGTGTGAGAGCTACACCCGCCCTGGGGTGGATAGTTTGCATATGTAAGGGAGAGGAAGAGGCTGCTTGCGGCCATTCCTGGCTTTTGTGTTTGTTGCTTTTGCTGTGTTCTGCCGCCATGAGCTGTAGTCCTCTGCCCTGTGCCACTCTGCCTTGTAACCTGCCAAGCATGGACTAAAACAAGACGGGCATGGTGGCGCACGCCTATAATCCCAGCACTCGGGAGGCTGAGGCAGGAGGATCGTTGCAAGTTCGAGACCGGCCTGGGCTACAAAGTGAGCTCAAGGCCAGCCTGAGCTACATATTGAGACCCTGTCTCAAAAAGCCAAAAAAGCCAGGGACATAGCTCAGTGGCATAAGCACCGGCCTGGCAAGCGCAAAGTCCTGGGTTTGATTCCCGGTACCAAGAAACAAGCATGGACTAAAACCTCCACAAACTGTAAGTGAAATAAACCTTTCCTTCCTTAATTTTGGGCATCAGGTATTTTGTCCCAGCAACGAGAGAAAAGTAACCAAGACAGATGGCCTCATGCATGTATCTGACAGTTAACTGGAGCAGTCAGCCAGGGCACCTCAGCTCTCTTCCACCTGGCTCTCCAGCAGCAAAGCATGGCTTCCTGACCCGATATCACCAGGGCCCAAGGGACTGAGACAGGAAGCTTGCAGGTCTCTTGAAGTCCAGGCTCCAGAAGTTGCTTCTGACTTATCTGTTGGCCAAAGCAAGTCACAGGGCAATTCTAGCTTCAGCAGATAGGAAAACAGACTTCAGCTTTTGTTGAGGAAGCTGCAAAATCAAAAAAGGGGCAACAGAAATAAATAGACACTTTGCAGAAGAAAAATACAAATGACCATAAACACACGAAAAAAATGTTCAACATCGATTGCCATTAGAGAAATGCAAATTAAAGCAACATTGAGATCCTCTGCGCTCCAGAAAGGATGGCCATCACTGAGAAATCAAGTAATAACAAATACTGGAGAGGCTCAGGGATAGAGGAACCCTTCTATATTGTTGGTGGGAACATAAACTCATACAACCACCAAAATGGGTATGGAGCTCCCTCAAAAACCAAAAATAGAAGTTTCATTCAACCCAGCTATTCCTCTTCTCTAGGCATCTTCCCAAAAGAGTTAAAGACATCGTATTATAGTGATACATGCATACCCATCTTTATATCAGCACAATCTTGGAAGTGTTCTGTATGTCTATCAATAAATCAATGGATTAAGAGAGTGGTGTTTATATACAATGGAGTACTACTCTGCCATAAAGAAGGATAAATTTGTAGGAAAATGGATGCATCTTGAAACCATAATGTTAAGTAAAATAAATCAGACACACAAGCTTAAATGTCACATGGCTCCTCTTCTATGATAAATCCAAATATAAATAAAGTAAAGAGCAAAACAAAAGCTAGGTAATAGGAAACAGGGAGATAGATATTTTGCAAATGAGAAAGGGACCAAGAGATGGAAGAGAGGGGAGGATGGGAGAGGAAGGGGACATAAAAAGAATTAGTGTGTGGTATGTACGTGTATCAACTACCCACTATGAATGTAATCACTAGGTACTGCAAACATGTGCTGATAAAAATAAAGCTTTTTAAAATCTTGGTGTTATTTTTCTACCTATTCCAAGCTTTCTAATCCATCGTTCAGTAATTCTCACCAAGCTGGGCATGGCACCACACGCCTGTAATCCCAGCACTTGGGAGGCAGAGTGTAGTGGATTGACAACTGGTGGTCAATTTACAACCCCCGGCTGAGCTGAGTAAGCCTGGAGCTGGGTGTGGGAGGCCCACCTGGGGATTGTTGCCAGCAGCAGGAGAGGCAGAGCTGGAGAAGGCAGGCTGTTTGGAGCTGGTAGAAGCTGTGAGGAGCTGTTGGCTGTTTTGGAGGAGCTCATCATGCTGGCCTTCCTGGTGAACTTGGCTGTTTTCATCCTCTGAGGAGCTCGGGACCTTGTTGGCATTGAGAATGGCTTCAGTTCACTTTGAGGGAGCTCTGGTCCTCACTCTGAGCATCGCTTCCTGGCTCAGGAGGGGAAGATGATGCACTGCCAGTGTCCTGGAGAAGTTTCCTGTGTTGGTTTTTTTTGTTTTTTTTTTTTCCTTTTTGAGACAGGGTCTCGCTCTACAGTTCAGGCTGGCTGTGGGCTCACTTTGTAGCCCAGGCTAATCTCAAATTCGCAACGATCCTCCTGCCTCAGCCTCCCGACTGCTGGGATTACAGGCGTGCGCCACCATGTCAGGCACGTTGGCTTTCTTGATGGGAACTCGGCCATCTTGATCACTGGAGGAGCTCAGGACCTCACTATTGCTGAGGATGGTTGTGGTACCTTTCGGAGGAGCTCTGGTCCTTACTTTGAGTGTCATTTCCTGGCTCCAGTGCAGATCTCTCAGCCTGCTTGCCCAGATCCTTCATCCCGCTAGCATAGACTTTCTAGATTCCACCACTGACCTTTGCGCCTTCCCAGAGCAGGTCCATGAAATAGGCCCGCATGAGATATTGTTACGGGCTCTGGGCCGCCAATTGGATTCTCCAGTATCTCCAGTGGGAGATATTGTTATGAGCTCTAGGTGTTCAGCTGGACTCATGCAGGACATTATTGCAGGATCCAGGCCCTTGGCTGGATTCCTGGTCTATAGTGTGTGGACAGATTTCCTGTACTCTCTTTGTATATGATTCTTTGGGTGACTATTATAAATAATCTTATAAAATATGTGTCCTGTATATTATTGTTCCCCTTGCAAAAAAATAACCCCAGACCACAACACGGAGGCAGGAGGATTGCTGTGAGTTTGAGGCCAGCCTGGGCTACATAGTGAGTTCAAAGCCAGCCTGAACTACAGAGTGAGTAGTTCAAACAACAAACAAAAATTCTTACCAATCAATGACCCTGTACTTACTATCTAGTATGACGGCATACTGTGCTAGAGGCACAGAGTATAAAGAACCTTCAGAGCCAGTCTGTGTTGGTAAGGGTGTGAAAGACTGAGACAAGCAAGACTCCTGGGTGCCATTTCAGGGGACCGCTAGGCTTTGTCCAGGGCTCCTAAGTGTTATTTGATTCCGCAGGGCTCTGCACCTTCTTTGTCCATCTGTCTGTTCTGTAAACATTTTATTATGCAGAGGTGAGGGAGGCCCCGTGCGTCCTGACAGCTACCTTCTTCACGGCAGCCTGGATGCTGCTCAGCTCCTTTCCACTTCTCTTGGCATGGACGTGCACTGCCCTTATTTTCTTCATGAACCTGAGGGCCCACTGGTCCTTGGAGACCCTGAATAGCATAGGGAAAGACACGCTCCTCTTGGACTATGCCCTGCACAAACTTGGTGTGCTTGTCTGCCTGCCTGCCTGCCTGTCTGCCCATCCACCCAAATATCTGTGTATTCTGCAGTTCTGGGTATCAAATCTGAGGCCCTGTGTGTGGCAGGCAGGCACTCCGCACTGAGCTGCACCCCTAGTCCTGACTGGGCCATTGGCAGAGCTTTGTCTGGCTGTGCCTGAGGCCTTGGGTGGCACAGAGCCACGGCTGCCCCTCTTCAGTGGCTGCTGAGGCTGAAGAGCTGAGTCTTCTTCGAGTTTATGTAAACAGTTTATTGTAAAGACTCTTCTTTTGTTGTTTTGGTTTGGTTTTTTTCCCCAGTACCAGGAACTGAACTCACAACCTTGCACTTGCCAGGCAGGCACTGTGCCGCTGAGCTAAATCCCCAGCCCCAGAAAAGACTCTTAATAGAACCTCAATATCTTATTTTCAGATACAGCTAGATTACCCATGTATTCAGTATAATTTTTTATTGTTTTTGACTAGATTCTTTTTTAGTTTTCTAAGTTGTAAAAAGTGGTAATCATGCAAATGTTGGTCACCAGAAAAGCAAATGAATGTTCCAGTGAGATGAAAATTGGTTTCTGCCTAGTAGAAAAGAAGATTTCAAATATTCATTTTACTTTACTTATATTTGCTTTTATTTTTGTTTTTGGAGACAGAGTCACCGTAGTTCAGGCTGGCCTTGAACTCACTATGTAAGGGGCCAGGATATAACTCAGCGGCACAGCACCTGCCTGGCAAGCACAAGGTCGTGGATTCAATTCCCAGTACCCGCTCGAATAAAGAACTCACTATGTAGCACAGGCTGACCTCAAACTCGTGGTGACCCTCCTGCCTCAGCCTCCTAAGTACTGGGATTACAGGTGTGTGCCATCATACCTGGTTTATATTTGCTTTTTTTTCTTGAGACAAGCTCTCACTATGTATTCTGGGCTGGCCTTGAACTCACCGTTAGTCCAGGCTTGCCTCAAACTCATCACAATCCTGCCTCAGCCTCCTAAATTCTGGGACTATAGGCACACTCCACTGTACCTGGCCTAATAAATTCTCTTATTCATTTTATTATCTCTAAGATATTAATCAATTTTTTACTTACCAGCAAACTGATTTTATCATTTATTGTATATTGATATCTATAAATAATATTGTATATTATAGATATTGTATATCTACATTATTATAGATATTGTATATCTATAAATGTCAGCTCCTTGGATTCTCCTTTCAATTAAAAAAATCCTAATTAATGAGTTAAATAAAATCTGCAAGTTTACTTCATATATACTTATGTAAAAGGGCCAGGGATGTAACGCAGTGGCACAAGCGCCCGCCTGGCAAGCGCAAGGTCCTGAGTTCAATTCCCGGTACCAAAAAAAAAACACAACATACTTATGTAAAAGTCATTATTTCACCCTTTTGAAAATTATCCTTTAACATTATTTCCTCAGCTGTAAATGACAATAATATCTTCTCATAGGATTTTTAGATATATATTAGATTTAGAAAAATTATAAACACACACACACATATATAATTACAGTACCGAAGCCAGACACAGTGCCATATGCATGGAATCTCAGCACTCAGGAGGCCGAGGCAGGAGAATTACTTTGAGGTCAAGGCCTGTGTCACACAGTGAGACCCTGTCTCAAAAAAAATTTTTTTAAAAATAGTACTGAACTTTAAATAAGTCCCTTTTTAAAAACAAAAACAAAAAACAGAAAAAACAGGGTCTTACTATGTTGCCCAGGATGGTCTCAAACTGCCAGAGTAGCTGGGTTTACAGGCACATACCGCTGCTGCACCTAGCCCACTAAATCCTTAATAAACATTAGCTGTCCCAGTTACTTTCCCATCACCGAGGCACACCACAGCCTGAAGGGGGTAGGGTTATTTGGCTCATGTCTCACCAGTATCAGTTCTTATGTGGTCAGCACGCTCCATGGACACCACAGGGGCGTGACAGAGGACGGGCCGCTCACTGATGCCAGACAGGAAGCAGAGAGAGAAGGGTCACGCTGCGTCAGGAAATAAACCTCTCCAGCCCTCGCCCCCCCCCTGTGACCCCTTTTCCCACCAGACACCCCCCCTTAATAAGTCAGCTATAAACCCTCATAACCCAACCACCTTCCAAAAGCCCCACCTCTGAACACATGAGGCTAGAAGGAGACATGGGGTATAAACCATGACAACCTGGGAGGTGACCTGACCATGTCCCTCCCACGCTCTTCCAGAGGCACAGACTCAAAACGTTCTCGTGTTACAACCGGTTGCACATTTCAGATTCCTCCTTGACAATGTTCCATCCACTTGACTTCCCACAGTATTGTATTTCTTCTCTTCGCCCTCGTTCTGCAGATCTGCCTAGAAACAGAGCTACAAGCCAGAATCTGCACCACTAGGCTCTGGATAGTACTGGTCCCCCTTTTGCAATGTTATTCAGCACAACGCCTGCCTGGCAAGGGCGAGGTCATGAGTTCAATTTCCAGTACCAAAAAAAAAAAAAAGGGCTGGGGATATAGCTCAGCAGCATAAGCACTTGCCTGGCAAGCCTGAGGTCGTAAGTTCAATTCCTAGTACCAAAAAAAAAAAAAAAAAAAAAAAACAGAAATGTTACTCAAGTTAGGCATGATGGTAAACATGCCTGTAATTTCAGCTACTCAGGAGACTGAGGCAGGAAGACTGCCAAGTATAAGGCCAGCTTGGGCAACTTAGTGAAACCCTGCCACAGTTGATACATTGTGTCAACTTGAAAAGTTTAAAAGTTTAAGTGATTCAGCACGGGGCCAGGGTCCTTACTTTGTAAATATTCTCAGCTTGTGGAAGAGGAGGGCCTGGGGATGGTGTGGGCATGGGCATGGGCAGATAGCCAGCATACAGCATAAGGGAGAAAAAGAGGCTTGCTCTCCACCACCCTTCTGCTCTTGATGCTTTTGCTGTCTTCTGCTGCCTTGAACTATTGCCCCCGTGCGACTGACACCACCTTGGCTTGGAGTCAGCTGATTATGAACTGAAATCTCCACAAACTGTGAGCTAAATAAACCTTTCCTTCATTAACTTTGGTTGTCAGGTATTTTGTCTCAGCAACAAGAAAAAAATAACCAAGGCAGACCCTATCTCAAAATGAAAAAAAAAAAATTTTTTTTTAAAGTGCGGGTGATGTTGCTCAGTGGTAGAGCACTTGCCTGGCATGCATGAGTTGAACCTCTAATACTACTACCAAAAAAAAAAGAAGTATTGAGAAGATTCAATTTATGTTTCCCTTAAAAATGCTTGGTTTTTTTTTTGTTGTTGTTGTTTTCTTTTTTATTTTAAAAGTGCTTGTTTTAGATAATCTTATTTACCCATGGTTTTGGAGTTTTGCTTTTATTTACTTTGTTTTTATGGTACTGGGGACTGAACCCAGTTTTTGCACTGACCTACTACATTTTTTCTTTTTTTTTTTTGAGACAGGGTCTCACTATGCAGTTCAGGCTGGCCTTGAGCTCACTTTGTAGCCCAGGCTGGCCTCAAACTCAAACTGATCCTCTTGCCTCAGCCTCCTGAATGCTGGGATTACAGGTGTGTGCCACCATGCCTGGCATAGTAGATGTATTTTAAACCATGCATGGTGGTGCACGCCTGTAATCCCAGCACTCAAGAGGCTGAGGCAGGAGGATCGTTGCAAGTTCAAGACCAGCCTGGGCTACAAAGTGAGCTCAAGGCCAGCCTGAACTGCAGTGAGACCCTGTCTCAAAAAGACAAAAAAAATGTATTTTAAAAAATTAATAGTGGGGAGGTCATTTATATCTTCTCAGTAATTTTGGTATTTCTGACACTCTATTTTTTTTCCTAAAGATCTAAATTTCCCTCTGGTAACATTTCCCCCTCAGCTGGAAAAGCTTCCCTGAGTCTTGGCTATAATATAGGTCTATTGATAATGAATCTTTAGTTGTCTTGTGTATGAAAATGCATTTATTTTGCTGCCTTTTTTTCTTTCTTTCTAGTGCTGGGAATTAAACCCACTCTTTGCCCTAAGCTACATCCCCAGCCTTTTTATTTATTTATTTATTTATTTATTTATTTATTTATTTATTTATTTATTTATTTTAAGCCAGGGTCTCCCTATGCAGTTCAGGTTGGCTTGAACACACTATGTAGCCCAGACTGGCCTCAAACTCAGAATGATTCTCCTGCCTCAGCCTCCTAAGTGCTGGGATTACAAGTGTGTTTCACTACGTCTAGCCCCTAGCCATTTCTTATACTTTATTCTGAGATGGGGTCTAGTTAGGTTGCCAAATTGCCCGAGCTAGGCTTGAACTTTCAGTCCTCCTGCCTCAACCATCCCAGAGTGCTGCAGTTATAGGTCTATGCCACTAAACCAATTTGCCTTGTTTTTAACAGTGATATAATTTACACACACCCATGTAATATGTACAATTCTGTGGCTTTCAGTATGCTTACAGAGTTATGCAGACATCATCACAATCAACTTTAGAACATTTCATCATCCCCAAAAAAACTTCACACCCATTAGGAGTCATCCCCACCTCTTCCTTCTCTCCTTCTTAGCCACCAATCTACTTTCTGTCTCTATATGCAGTATTTGCCTATCCAGGTTATTTCACAGATGCAATATGAGGTCATTTGTGACTGAGTTCTTTTATTTGGCATAATGGTTTCAAGGTTCATCTATGTTGTAGCATGGATCATAATTCATTCCTTTTCATTGCCAAATGAAGTACACAGAATTCTTTTTTTCTTTTTTTGTACTGGAAATAGAACTCAGGACCTTATGCTGAAACACCTCCCTGAAACACTCCCAAACTTCTAAGTGCTCTGTTGAGCTTCCCTAGTGAAACTAAGCCACTGAACTATATCCTTGGCCCAGTACACAGAATCCTACACTAGCATTTTTAATTCTTCTGGTGCTTCAGAAATGTTGTATCTCTGTCTATTGAACTACTTTTGTGTACTCACCCTCTTGAGGAACTACTTTTTTGTTTGTTTGTTTGTTTTTTGTTTTTCTCCGGTACCAGGAACCGAACTCACGACCTTGCGCTTGCCAGGCAGGCGCTTTTGCCGCTGAGCTAAATCCCCAGCCCTTTTTTTTTTTTGTCTTTTTGAGACAGGGTCTCTCTATGCAGTTCAGGCCAGCCTTGGGCTCACTTTGTAGCCCAGGCTGGTCTCAAAGTCACAACAATCCTCCTGCCTCAGCCTCCCGAGTGCTGGGATTACAGGCATGCACCACCACGCCCGGTTCCATTGAACCTTTAAAATATACTTGTATCCTATTTCTCTGCTGAGATTTTCTATTCCCCCAACAACCCCAAGTACTGGGGATTGTACCCAAGGAGTGCTGAGCAGCATTTCTCCACCACCACGCCCTTCCACCGTGCCATTTCTGCCTTCGAGCCAACCATTGGGAATCCTCTGAAAACTATGAACCAAGATGAACCTTTCCTCTTTTAAATCACAGAAGTTGGGGATTTGCCCCAGTGATAGTATTATAGATGGCTAAATTAGGTAAAGGTATGATAGGCAGTCAGGGCTAAATCCTCAAGAGGGTGAGTACACAAAATAAAAACACATCAGTGAGACATGGTGACACATGCCTATAGTCCCAGCACTCAGGAGGCCAAGGCAGGAGGATCACTGTGAGTTTGAGGCCAGCCTGGGCTACATAAGTGAGTTGAAGGCCACGCTATACTACATAGTGAGACCCTCTCTCTCAAAAAAAAATCAAAAAAATAAAAATTGTGGCTAGCCAGGTGTGGCAGTGCATGCCTGTAATCCCAGCACTCAGGAGGCTGAGGCAGGAGGATTACTTCAAGTTTGAGGCCAGCCTGTGCTACAAAGTGAGTTCAAGGCTAGTCCCCCATAAATTTACCTGCTCGTAACTTCCATTGTTCCTTAGCATCCACTCTCTGACTTGAGAGAACACAAGCTCGGCATATCTGACGTCTAACAGGTTAAGAGTTACACTGTTCCCCCCATATCATTTTGAAGGTTCCACCAAGATAACTGGAAGGAGAGAAGAGTCTGCTTTTGTTTCTGGGTTATAACTCATTTAGGTAATCAGAAATTGTCATTCTTGTTTACCAGCTGCTTATGTCTTCTTGTCTTTTTATGCCTTTTTTTTTTTTTTTTTTTTTGGTCAAATGCTGGTAAATTTATTTATTTATTTATTTATTTATTTTGTTTGTTTGTTTTTGGTTTTTCTCCGGTACCGGGAACCAAACTCATGACCTTGCGCTTGCCAGGCAGGCGCTTTGCCGCTGAGCTAAATCCCCAGCCCCAAATGATGGTAAATTTAAATTGAGAACATGAGAAGATTATGATGTTTCTTTGATACAACATTTTATTTTTGCAGCAAGTGTCCTGTATTTCTGTTTTGTGTATGAACTTACTAATTGCTGAATTTACTGGTGTTCCTTGCTTGACCAGTTTGACTTGTTTGGCTGTGAGGGTTGTTGTCTTATCTCAGACAAGCGGTGCTAGGGAAAGGTAATATTAGAGTGTACCCTAGTAGACTTTGACACTACCCAAAATATGAATTTGAAAAATGCTGTAAAATGGGCTTTTTTGATGAAATCTAGTTTATAAAATATAAATGCCTCTTACAAATTCAGGACTCCCTCAGCCAGTTAATTGTTACACTATGGCTGTCAACCCTGGGAAGACAGGAGTCACTGAAATAGTCTAGCCTGATCCACCCCCTCCGTGCTCAAGGAGGGGAATGTCAAGCCTGTTCTGCCTCAGTTTCCCTTCTGGTCCGATCTTCACTGGTAAGGAGGCAATCTCAGCTCTTGAGATTCCCCATTCTTGCCTTTCCAGACTGAGAGTGATGATTCACTCTCAGTCTCAGGGGACTCAGGTCCCCTTCTGTCTCTCAGGGGAAATTGTCTCTCAGGGGAAATTGTCTCAGTAATTCATTGTGAGTGTGAGAAAACTTTCTTTTCTTTGATCTCATTTCTGATCTTTTTTGGGCACTTTGTACTTCCCTTTTTTAGAGGCATGTTTCTTCTAAAGATCAGAGAGAAAGGCTCTAAAAATGTTTCAGTCTGTGATAGATTGACAGCTGGTGGTCAACTTATAACCCCCAACTGAACTGAGTAAGTGGGTGCTGGGTGTGTAAGGCCCACCTAAAGACTGTTGCCAGCAGCATAAGAGGCAGAGCTGGAGAAGAAGAAGTGAGGCTGTTGGGAGCTGAGAAAAGGCTGTCGGAAGCTG